ATTTAATATTTTCATCATGCCAATGTATTAGTTACTATATATTAGTCAACGTTTTGAATTCAATAAAGCAAAAAATTCTCTTCGATTTTACATAAAGAAAGTAAGCTTGTGAAATGCTGAAGAGACCTTTTTTTATTCAAAATTGAGGAATCTTTTCGTGAAGATCTAAAATTTGTTGTTTACATTGATATTGTCTTGCTCACGTGAATAATAGTTAAATTCGAGATACTTACCAAATAGTTAGGATATCGCTATGATTTTGAAATTTAAATAAAACGTTACAATGCTAATATGCATACGTGTATAACGAGGAAGTACCATTTTTATCATTAATTACCATGGTAAAGTGTATATTAGTGTTATGGGGTTAAACGATATAGGGTAAACTGTACCGAATATCTGGCCCAGGGCCATTATTACACTCGCTTATTTGTTTGTTTCCAATTATAAAATGATTATATATATGAAAGGTATTTTCTTTATTAGGAGAATTACTAACGCGAGAGAGACCTCTATTTCTCTTGCTTACAACTTATTATTTATACTATTACTAATCGTTATCGATTATTACATTGTTTATACAATTGTTACTATTACTAATCGCTATTAATTACTACATTGTTCATGCATCGCTATTAATTACTTATTTATTACGACATTCTCAATTGATCGTTGAATCAATTATATCAATCCACCATCACATGTGACAATTAGTCAGTGTTTTTGAATTTAATAAAGCAAAAAATTCTCTTCGATTTTATATAAAGAAATTAAGCTTGTGGAGTGCTGAAGAGAATTACTCAAAATTGAGAAATTCTTTCGTGAAAATCTAAAATTTGTTGTCCATATTGATATCGTCTTGCTCACATGATTTGTTTCTGTTTCAAACGAAAAACCTTAAATTCTTCAACCCATTACCTCGCTACTTCCATCTTTCATCTCCTTTACATAGCGTTCACCCAGTACAATAAGGTCCTTTATTATATAGCATTCCCTATTCAGCATTGTTGACTTATTTGACTGCTGCGCCTTCTTGATAATTACTATATCAAAATATGAACCATAAAATCAATATTTGACTTTTATTCGAAATTATCGATCAAATAATTCAAATATTTGATTTTTATTCGAAATTATTGATCAAATAATTCAAATATTTGATTTTTATTCGAAATTATTAATCAAATAAATTCAAATATTTGATTTTTATTCGAAATTGCTAATCAAATAATTTAAATATTTGATTTTTATTCAAATTGCTAATCAAATAATTCAAATATTTGAAATTGCTGATCAAATATTCAAATATTTGATTTTATTCAAAATCGATTGTTGATCAATTTTTAATTAAACAGGAATTAGCGAGATGAAACCACTTTTTCTTCAAAAATTTATCATTGTAAAGGTTGTTCAAGCATTACAGTTTCATGTTTATGAAAATAAAAGGAGTATGCTAAGCATTTATTTCTATAAATATCGTTATTAATTAACGCTTGAGCATCATGCTCATTATTTAATCGATTGATTTAGATGCCACTTACTTGAAATTATCTCTTTTCGAATTATCTTGCATGTTACCATTGTTAAAACAATGGCAACATACAGGATTCATGGGATTCTTTGATCGAAAACAGCGAATAATTGATTTGAAATTAACAATCAAATATTTGAAATTAGTGGTCAAATATTTGAATTAACGATCAAATATTTGAAAAAATGATCTTTTTTTTGTATTTATAAGCTGAATAAAGTTTAGCGAAGTTTACTAATAATATGGATGATTATCTTACCAATAATTATTATTTACCAATGGGTGATGATTGTTTTGAAAACGAAATTTATAATACACCTAATCCGTTAAACGAATCTTTTACTACCACTACATCTGAAATATCAAATACTACTGAAATATCAGACACGACTTCTGAAACATCAAATAATCTTGATATTATTGATGAAACATCTAATGCTTCTAACTCTTCACGATCTGATATTTGGAAATTTTTTACCAAAAAGAAAAAAGGAAAGTCAGTTGTTGCAAAATGCAAACGTTGTCCAAGTGTTCAATATTCTGTCATTAAAGGTGCAACAACAAATCTTTGGACGCATGTTAAAAGGATGCATTCATCTCTTCTTGGAGCACCTCAACGCACTTTAGATTTTTACAAGCCTAATAATAATAAATTTTCTGAAGTATAAAATTTTTTAATTATATATATACAGGTTATCGAACGATTTGCTTGTGCCGCACAAGTAAATCGTTCGGTAACCCACGGTACCCTCCTCTATTGTAAAATATATTTTCTCATTATAACTAGAGATATTTTTACTTAACATTAAATTTTTTGTTATTAAATTAATTAATATAGGTTACTCAAGATAATTTACGGGCATGGATTATGGAATGGATCATTCTCGAGGATCTTTCCTTTACAATAGTAGAGGGTCGAATCAAAAATATAATCGAGAGAATTTCGAAATTCCGTGTTGTATCTGCGGATACAATTAAACGTGATATAATAAAAAAATATAAAGAAATGCAAACTAATGTTCAATTAGAATTACAAGAAGTTCCAGGAAAATTTGCAATTTCTTTAGATCTTTGGACTTCGTTTGCGGTTAAGGCTTATATGGGCATTATAGTTCACTTTATAGATAGAGATTGGCATCTTCAACAAAAAACTTTGGATTTCATTGAAATGAAGGGTTCCCATACGGGCGTGAATATTGCAAATGAATTAATTAAAGTTCTTGAACTTTATCAAATTGGATCCAAGGTTATATAATTTATTTTATTAATTTAATTTATATACTATAAAATTAATAAAATTTATTTAATTTTATAGATTAATGGAATTACTTTTGACAGCGCTTCTAATAACGATACGATGGTTTATCATCTTGAATCATGGGCAATTGGAGAAGATATTAATTTTTCTACTGATAATCACTTCCGTTGTTTTGCTCACGTTGTAAATCTTGCCGTTCAAGTTGCTTTAAAGCAGCTAAAGGATGAAATTGATAAAATTCGAAAACTTATTATTAAATCTCGCTCATCTCCACAATGACGTCAGAAATTTTCAGAAATTTCAAATTTAAATAGTATTAACTTGTCACCTATTCTTGATGTTCCAACCCGTTAGAACAGCACATACATGATAATTCAGCGAGCTTTAAGTTTAAAAGTGGTTCATTTTTTATTTGTTATTTTATATTTAGCTAACATCACATATGGTTAGGGTTAGCTTTTACGTATTAATAGATCTATAAAGATTTATATTAATATACGTATGTATGTATTAATTCAAATTTAGTTATGTTATTAAAGGCATTCACTCTACGTATGCGAGATGTCGGCTAAGTGTGCATCGATACCTACAGCTCATTTTAACCAACATCACATAGGGTTAGGGTTAGGGTTTTATTGTTGTATTAATAGTAAATTGTCACCCGTGTGATGTCGGTCAAATGGGCTTTAGGTTAAATGGTGTCAGTTAAGTAGAATGAATCCGTCGATGGTGAAGTAAGGCAAATTCATATAACTAAATTTATTTTATTGTTTTTTATAATAGGTCTTTGAAAAGATCTTATTAATCGAAGAATTTTCAGACCTAGATGATTTAAAATTAAGTCAATCTGACTGGAAATGTCTTGAAAATATTGCAGTGTTTTTAAAACGTTTTGCTAAACTTTCTACTGAAATGTGTTCCTCTTTATATCCTACAATTAGCATGGTATATCCTATGTATAATTATCTTATGGATCATTGTGAAAAGAGAATAAATAATCAAGCCTCTGATAAAGTATCAAACGCAGCAAAAGAAGCATGGGGCAAGCTTCAAGAATATTATAATAAAACTTCAGAATCTTATCATTATATTTCCACGATTCTTGATCTCCGTTGGAAGCTTAAATATTTTCAAGCTTGGGCTAATAATAAAGATGATCAAGTTTATTATAAACATGCAAAAGATTTGTAATTGATTATATATATTTATATAATTTATATAATTTACAGTATATATTATATATTTATTTATTTATTATATATATACTTATTTATTTATTAGATTTACCAACCAATTTGACAATTATCGTGCTTTACATTTTCCAATTTCGTTGTCATCTGTAAGTAATAATTTAACACAAAATGAAGATGATGAGGATTCATTGTTTCTTGTTCCAAAGCATTTTCGTAATCATAATAGTCGTAATGAACTCAATGCATATTTGGATAGTTCTTCAGAACCTGGTGAAATTAATGTATTAGAGTGGTGGAGAACTCATAAAAAGCAATATCCTACTTTAGCAATAATGGCTCATGATTATTTATCAATACCTGCCTCTAGTGCACCTGTAGAAAGGTTATTTAGTAAAAGTGGAAATGTTGTTACTTTAGAAAGGAATAGACTTGAAGGCGAGACTATTCAAGCAATTATGTGCCTTAAAAGTTGGTTATAATTTAGTTTATACTGTATTATAGATTTTATATATGGGTATATTTTACGTATAATGATAACATTTTAAAATAATAATTACCTCATACGTATTTGATATTTTTTTTTTCTTTATTTTGTTAGTGTCATATTTACGTATCATTTTTTATTTTCGAATAAGATCCGGGACAAGGCACAGTACAATAAAATTGTTTTTTTTAAACAAAAAAAAACCCCCGTGACTGCGGTCATGAAATAGTGGAATAGATATTTATATATATGGAATAAGCGAGAACTGAATACGGCTATAGACAAAGTCTAGAATGATAGTTTAGAGATAGACTAAGATGGTATCATAATAGTCAGGCTAGGATTTAAGCCTGACGAAGTGGGAAAGAAAAGAAAAGAACAGAATAATGTATAGTTCCTTATTATATGATTCGAAAGTATGCTTTTTCATACTTCTAATAAAGTTCATATTTCATAATTATCTTCAAAAGCCACTTAATTACTGGGTAACTGCACTATGTAGTCATGTTAAAACTAAGTAGATATATGAATAAATTTAATTGATAAGTATTTTTGAATACGGAGTGCTGTCACGGGGTTAAACGATATAGGGTAAATATCTGGCCCAGGGTCGTTCTTATACAATCGAACACTTGCTCATTTATTTGTTTCCAATTATAAAACGATTATATATGAAAAGTATTTTCTTTATTGGTAGAATTACTAACGTGAAAGACCTCTATTTCTCTCTCTCTGGGTTTACTAATTTTCCCCACCATTTCACTATCGGAATGCTAAAAAATTGATTAATAGCACAAAGATACTCCGATATGTGAATAATTAGTAGAACCAATCAGAAGTGGTGGGGAAATTAGTAAATTCTATTTCTCTTGCTTACAACTTATTATTTATACTATTACTAATCGTTATCGATTACTACATTGTTTATGCAATTGTTACTATTACTAATCGCTATTAATTACTACATTGTTCATTGGGGTTCTGCATATACTAATTAATCAAATCTATATCAGGTGTTATAGTAAAATTAAATAATACAGATTTTAAGCATAGATCAGCAAAATCGATAGATTACTATAGAAAATATTAGTGTTTAAGAAATGATTCACCTCGCGTACTAATAATTTTTTTCTGACAATTTTCACGAAAAATGATTATTATAGTGGTGTAAAAAGAAGTTACAGTCTTATATTTTTAATTAATTAAAGATTTTTTAAATTCTACATATAAACTTTTAGCCAAAAAGTTAATTTTATTACGAATTAACTTTTGTAAATAAAAATTTAAACTGTAACTTCTTTTTACAACATCATAATAATCATTTAACGCAAAAAAAATTGTCAGAAAAAAATTATTACACGAGGTGAATCGATTTTTTAAATACTAAGATTTTGCTATATAGTACTGTAGTAATCTATCGGTTTGCTGATTTATGCATAAAATTTGTATTATTTAATTTTACTATAATACCTGACATAGATTTGATTAATTAGTATATGCAGAACCCCAATTGTTCATGCATCGCTATTAGTTACTTATTTATTACGACATTTTCAATCGATCGGTTGAATCAATTATATCAACCGTCACACACATGACACTATTGATGCTATATTTTTCGATACAGTGCAATAATCAATTTTCAACATATGTGTAAAATCTCCACTATATGAAAACTTGTTGCTATGCGATGGTTTTGATTATGATGAAGATATAATAAAGTGGATCGGGTAAATTCCTTTCAGTAGACTAGGCAATGTTCAGAAGATTGGTGAATGGGAATTCGGTTCATAGCACAAATGGGCAAGTGAAAATGAAGATATATGATTGTTTTAAGGAATTTCAACTTGGTCACAGATATGAAGTGTAATCGAGTGAATTTGAAGAAAGAAGCATATAACTGTGTACACAATCATATATAGTTGCACTTGTGACATTACCAGGTTCACAGAAGAATTTTTATGATCAAAATAAATAAACTATTAATATTATTTATTTAACAAGTTTAAAGGCCATGCAGAACTTAGATAAATAGAGATCTTAAGATATATGGGCTAACTTATATAACGAATGATTGGTAGTATTTCAATATGCAAAATAAAAAAGCAATCATAAGTTTCTGTTATAAATGCAATTCAATTTCTAATATAGATTTATTATTTATTATTCATAATAAATAAAACAAATCAAAAAAAAAAACACCCTCAAAATAAATAAGTAAATAAAAGAGAAAAATTCTAACCAGTCCAAATTACCTATCGGTAAATTCGATAATTTCTATATTATTTTCATAGAAAAACATTTTAAGTTTGTCAATATTAGCATTTTACTATAAAAATAATTTTTTAAAAAAATATTACCAGTTACAAAATAATGTTCAATTTCGAGGCGACATCAATTGAAAAATCCTTAATATTCTAACTTTTAATACGAACAAACAGCTTCGTAGGCCATCCGTAATAGAGCATAGGCATAGGAGCTCAACGCCTATCGGTAAACCTAGAGTTATTAAACTCTAAAATAAAATTTTAGTATGTCTAACCAGACAATTATTTTTCCAAAAAAAAATCTCTCAAAATATTCAACCAATAGTTAAGATAAGTAATCCCGCAATTGCCGGCATAGTGCATAGTCGAATTAAAATTAAAGAGAATACTTAAGAATAGCCTGAATGGTCTACTATATATATCATATTCGTGAATTAGTGCAGATCATTACTCTGGATTGAACTAAGCGTCGCACTGAAACCATCAACAAAAATTATTATAAGATTGTAATCCGTAATCCTTGAAACGATTTCACCGTAAAGAATATACTATAATTAGATTATCGATAATGATTTTGAAGGTACGCGCTCATAATTTCACACATAAGATCCTAAAAAATTTAAAAGCACAGGTTTAGATCAACATAAGATAAAAAAGAAATAAATAATAGCAATGTAATAATTCTAATAATTCTAGATGTTTTGTTATACCACTGCTTACTGTATCCCCAAATAATACTCCAATAATTAAGACCAGAGTATTACTCCCCATCATTACCAACCTGTTTCTTAAATAAGACCCGGGATATAACAATATTGATTTACTACTTTTAATATGTTGTACCCTCCAGATATAGAACCCGGTTCTTCACATAGTACCCATGAGTACTATTCAATTTTAAAAATGGAATTCTTTGAATAAACCCTAAGTACTGTAAGCAGTGGTATACGGTAATGCTAGATAGGTATAAAAGCCCTAGTTAAACAAATAGAACTATCTTCAACTTGCATAATGATAGATGTTGGATTCCCGCTATCTAAAGAGTAGGCATTAAGTAAATCCTATGCTTGGGCACTTTTTTTTAAGCAGAAATTGGATAAATGAATGTACAAGCTATACATAATGAGTTCTTGAAACATTTAGAATGAGAACAGAAATGAGGACATTCCAAAGCCTTCCACAATTCACAACTAGTTAGGCCTGTAAGCTCGCTTTTGAGCAAAAGGCAAATAGAGAGTTTGAATTAGATGCTTAACTTTGTTTACGTTTGCCAAATAAATTCTTGTTAAATCTAGATTTCAAATGCTTTTCAAATGCTTTTTTTCGGTAGTAATTTTCAAAGCATTCTACCTTTTGCCTTGCTTTACGAGGTAAGCTGCCCTAGTAGACCTGAAGTAAAAAATATTTAGTAAAATTCATAATATCGTAGTGTAAAGAAAAAAAATCTTCACTATAGCTTATATCAATATGTTCACTGAAGTTTCCCAGTAAGTTTATTTTGTCGTCTATAATCATGCGAATTCAAAAATTCTTCACTATATCAAAACCGGCTGACCCTGCATTAGTTTTTGAGCAGTTGACAAATTAATTTTATCTTTGGCCGGTAGATCCAAGGCTTCAACATCGACAATTTGACCTTGGAGAATTTTATTAGCCGCTTGAAGTCTTAATTTTGCTTGTGGCTAGCAAGACAAGCAAACTGGTTGCTCTTCTACTAAAAAATAATCGTTAGTAATAGTTTTTTTCTCACATAAAGAACAACGTGAAAGTTTACTATAAGAATGAGTTGTAGAGTGTATTAAAGCTTGATGTACGTACGTACGTACGTACTATATATGGTTTGCGTTACGTATAACAAGCGGGTCATATTATTCAAATATATCAAATCAAATCAAATCAAATACAAATTAGTTTTATATTTGATTTGATTTGATTTAATCAAATTCAAATAAGTTAATATTTGATTTGAAAAAATCAAATCAAATTCAAATTAATCTAATATTTGATTTGATTCGAGTTTGCGGAACTCTACTTATAAGCAAGCCATTACATTAGCTAAAGATATTCTTGAAATAGAGTTAAATACTCAAATTTATGATTTTGTAATTATTCCAGATGATAATAAGATTAAAATAGAAAATAAAATCAAAGAACAATCTGCTGAACTTCAAAGAAATAAATTACAAACAACTGAAAGTATTTTTATATCAACTACAGCTATAGAAATTAATACTTGAAACAAGTTTAGTATATTAACTAAAGTAAAAACATATATTTTAAATATTGTGTTATTTTATTAAACTAATCTTTATTAAAATTTTTTTTAATTATATTTTATTATCTCTAGATTAAAGAAGAAGAAGATTTTTCTGATGAATGTTCACTATTAGACTTAATACTTAGCTCTATTTAACAATTTTAGAATCTTAATATAGAAATGAATATTAATATTAAAGTTATCAATGAGAAGCTTGAATTAGCTATCTTAATTAACCAATATTATAGTCATAAGGTATATACTAATTAAAGAATAGAGAAAAAGATTGTAAGATTATTTAAATCTATTCTTAATAATAAATTCAGCAGTCTTATATCATATTTTTCTTCAAATAAATCTGCTCATTTTATATTTTATGTTAAAATCATTAGAGAATGAGATCAAGACTTGAACAATTAAATAATGGAATAAAGAACTCAGTTAGTAAGCTAATTTTTATTTATTAACTTATTTATTAAAGTATGAATCGAAAGTTATTGGAGTTCTAAACTAATACTTATTATAGCTTTTTTTATTAATAAGTATTATTGGATCAAGTAAATAGGCAATTAAAAGTATAAACTAGAGAATTTAAACTTTTTGTTAATAATATAATTTTTAATTCACTTATAAAAAAGATAGGCAATATTTAGAATAAAAAGGAAGCATTTGAGTAGTATTGTTTATTAGTAATGTCTTTTAAAATACAATCTTCAATTTTTTTTTTTTTTTTTTGGCGTTAAAGTGACCTCTACAGCTGGGAACTTTTTATTAAACTTATTAACTTCAGGTTATATAGTTACAATAAGGGTACATCAAGCCACACGTGTACTTTTGGTACCTAATTTAAGTGGTCCGCCTGGGTTCTATACTAGCCACTATACCTGCAATCTAACTAGGAGATTACCTATTTTAAGCTCTTTGATTATTACTAATGAGAGTACGATTAGCCATACATGCAACTTTTGGTTGCCTATTTAAG